AAAAAAAAATCAGTAGTACAAAAAATAAGTAACCTGCGTGAAGATAACATTGATACTGGAGCGAGAGGAGATTGACGAAGTTGGGATGGCAATGGCTGCATCTTTCATTAGCTTCGCCATAATGGGTAGAAATGTGTCATTATTGCGCGCCTGAAATAAAAAACAAAGATTGGCTGGAATAAATAAATTAATATTTGAGAAAACAATTTCTTGTATTTGGAATAATGTCTAAAAAAATGCTTCATTTACCAGGAATGAAATAATGCGCCGCTTCATCGCTTCTACCCGCTAGCTCGAGCCTTCTCCGTTTGACAGCCCTTTCATTCATTATAGCCTTCGCGGCCATGGGGCACCATTCTAAAGAATGGAGCTCCATTGTAGCTGCGATTTCCTCGGCTGAGCGAACGTGCGGCATTTCGATGAAATGGCCGCATTTCTGGCAAAAGCCTGAAACAGATATATTACATTAAAAATGTTCAGTAAACATTCGTTAAATAGAATTCTTTCAAAAACTAGGCTTAATCCAAGCAATAATATTTCGAGTTGAATTCACCATTTTGTCGATGCATTTTGGCGGCGTGAATTCGCCATCCCTTTAGCGTCCCGAATTCCTTGGAACACATGCCGCATTCTGAAAAGATGACATGCATTAGAAAGAAACATTTATACAAATCACCCGTATCAAATTTAGTGACGAAATAAGTTTAACTTACCAATTATTACCGACCCGTCAGCATTCCTAATCACTGTATATGGGTCGATTTCTGGCACAACCAGCAGTTCTTGATATTGTGCCGGCAAACCTTCCACTACCGGCACATGGAAGGCCTCCGGACTTGCTGGTTCCACCTCGCGGCCTCGTTGCATTGCAACTGGGACTCGCACGGTCCTGGAACGTCTGAAACATGTATTCGTAAGCGAAAATCATCCCGCAAAATTTGTCATGTGCTTAATTTTTCATCCTAATTAGGATATTCGCATTGTGAAATAATTTACGCTATGTATTTTTTAAAGATAAGCTGATCAATTGGTTCGACATTTTATATTACGCGTCTTTTCATCGCATTTGTACAGCTTGGAAAGTGAACTTACAGTACGATTTCACGGACTTCTTCCACTTCTCTACGCTCCGTGACCGCTGCTTGCGCTCTCGGTACCACATCGACACTTTCCCCATATGGGGATGGCTCGTGTGGTACCTGCCGCCACTCCGCCAGCCTCTCCTCTCCCTCCTCATCGTAAACCAGTGCCGATACTGGTTCCATCATTTCTTGGTCTTCATTTTCTTGCTGTTGCTCGAGGAGTTGGAGCGCGAGCCGCTCTTCGTTTTCTCGCTGCCGCTCCATTTCTTGCTCGCGCTCCAGGAGCTCATGGAGCACTTCCTGTTGCTCCCGACGTAGCGGAGGACTTGCGCGGCGAAACAAATCCGCTCTCGGAACTTCCGCTCCTTCTTCGCCATCATCTTGGTGGTCACTCCTCTCAAGTCTCTCTGTTAAATTGTTTATCTGAAAAAGAATATTGGTTATAAAATTCAATGGAGCGTTTTCACTTCTTACATTGAATGCTCTCTATTGACATTTCCATTACATAACTAAGAGGCTTTACTAGAAGATGAACCATCTATTACCTAACCTTTACCCAGTCTTCTTGCACCAATTCTGACAGCAATAATAGCAATAATGGCAAAAATTAGGTCGCAAGTAGTATAAATGTATCATACCTCACCTTACCACAAGTAAACTTCAGGCCAAAAAATAAACATACCAAATTTGCCGCATTTCGCAAATATTGTTCCAATACCTGGAAATAAAGCGGCTTCTCTTCACGCAGGTACTTCTTGAGATCTGCCAAATTTGGCAGATTTGGGCCAATTCCGGAAGCATTTGCAAATTCGCCTTCCATTAGCTGAAAAGGGTTATAAATTTTAAAACTGTGCAACAATTTATACGCAACAAAATTTAGAAACGGTTGTT